TGAACAATATAGTTTTCAACTGCATCTTCATCATGCTTCATTCTAAGACACAGTATTATCAGTACGTGTAAGTGAGAAATATTCAACCAATGAAGATAGTTTATGAATCAATAATAACAATGAAATAAATCATATAACTAATCATAATAAGTAATAAGTACAAACTCATAGTAATATGATAGGTGTACTAGTAGTGATAAGAATACTGAAAGCTCAAATCAATGTTTTAGCATAGGGAGTAGAACTGAATTCGGAAAAATAGACATTGAAATAACAAGCATTTGAAATTATTACAGTTGCGTAATAAGATGTTTTCTAATAATTAAATAGTGAAGGATATATACGAAAGAGAATGCAGAAAAACAAACGAATGAAAGCTATGGAGATTAGTGACAGTGATAAGTCATTTGTCAAGCCTCATGTGATCAAGGAAGTTACAGGGTGGTAAAAATTTCTTCTGAATGCATAGGCTAGAGTTGTAGATCAGAATCTCTATAGCTTCTGTTCCACAAGCAGAGAGTTCCTCTCTCTACATCGTCTATAGATACTTAAATTTATTCTCATTAGAAAACTTAAGCTGTTCTTTCGAGTTTCAGAACTTCTGCAAAAACCAGTATAAAAAAAGTGTCAAAGTCGTTTTTGACTTCATTTACAAAGCGTAAGATGAGAATGTTGATAGGAAATATATGATTTCTCTAACAGTTTACAATGAATGTTCATTTGGTCTCAAAAATATTTGTTATACACAGATCAGTGAAATTGTTTTGGTTTCACAATTTACGACCGATTCCGCCTGACGTTTTTCCAGTAGAGTTAGATAATGAACTTCTTGAGGAGACTGTCGGTAAACTAGATCTATACTCCTGTGGAAACCCTATAGCTTTCTTGATCACATGAGGCTTGACAAATGACTTATCACTGTCACTAATCTCCATAGCTTTCATTCGTTTGTTTTTCTGCATTCTCTTTCGTATATATCCTTCACTATTTAATTATTAGAAAACATCTTATTACGCAACTGTAATAATTTCAAATGCTTGTTATTTCAATGTCTATTTTTCCGAATTCAGTTCTACTCCCTATGCTAAAACATTGATTTGAGCTTTCAGTATTCTTATCACTACTAGTACACCTATCATATTACTATGAGTTTGTACTTATTACTTATTATGATTAGTTATATGATTTATTTCATTGTTATTATTGATTCATAAACTATCTTCATTGGTTGAATATTTCTCACTTGTGCATACAAATAATACTCTAAAATGGAGTGAAGCATAATTATCTAACTGAGTATATAATACACTTAGTATTGTTTGTTTGGATCTTCCCATCGATGTGTTTAGGACTGCAACTGGTCAGTCTCTAATTGGCATGCTTGTGAATTAAGGTATATCGAGGCAATACGCACAGTATGCACATATGCCAATTAGAGACTGACCAGTTGCAGTCCTAAACACATCGATGGGAAGATCCAAACAAACAATACTAAGTGAATTCAAACTTCACCCCATCGCACAAGCAAGTGGCTATCAGGACTCAGTGGCCGAGTGGATAACGCGATGGCGTTTGGAGCGAGGGTACTGGGTTCGAGTCCCAGAGTGAACATCAACTCTGAGATGCAGGTATATCCAGCTGACGAGTCCCAAATAGGACGAAACGCGCGTCCTGGATTCCACTGCTAGCCACTATCCATCTCTGCTTACCATGCTTGAGTATATAATAGTTTTGTTTAACGAACCTGACTACTGAAAACATTAAGTAGTAACGTATAAGCCGCATAAAATATTTGGGAATTGTCCAAGTTCAGATATTTTGAACAGTTAATGGAGCTCATGAGGATAAAATGAATACACTACTTTAAGATCATCTGCATAAACAAGAGGCGTAACTATGGAGAAGCAATCGCGAATATCAATATATTAACTAAAAGCAGCTAATAACCTGAGGCACTACCCTATATCACACCAATTTTGACCGACACTGCATTCGACGAGGAATACTTCATTTTGACTGTTTCATGTCAGTGACTGAAGAAAGAAAGAAACCGAGCAAACGGATTGGCTGTGATGCCGCAAGATCAGAGTTTGTCTATGAGGAACTGGTGGTTAATCATCTCAAAAAGCTTTATAAATGTCAAATTATTGCAGTAAAACTACATACCCTCGGTCTTGTCGACTACACACTAAATTAAACAAATCAAAGTGACAGATCATACAAGATCGAGTTTTAAAGAAGTCATGTTGAAAATCAGTGATAAGATTTTAAGTAGGTAAATACCTGAAGAGTTTGTCACATATAATTAGTTCGATTATCTTAGAGATAACTAGAGTAATATTTATGGGCTGATAATTGTTCATGTCATTCTTATCTATAGATTTGTAATGTGCTATGATATATGTTGTCTTCCAACGGTTAACGTAGGCACCTCTCTCCAGAAAGAGAGCAAACAGTTTTAGAACAAGTAGTTGAATACCAGATCCACCATATTTCAAGTAAATCGATGCAATTCCGTCCACTCCATGACCGTTTTACACCTTCATGGAGTTCATAGGTTTACAAATTCTTAGATAAGTGAAACAGATTTTATGTAGTTACAAGTTACTAATATGATTTTGGAATTAGTGTCATTTAGGAATTTACCATTGTAAGCAAAAATATCACTGAAAAGGTTCGGAGTGGTTTTAGAGTGGTCTATAAATGTGCCATTATGCAAGATGCACGATCTATCTGCATTTTGAGATGATGAAAATAAGAGTAAAGTTTTGTACTTTTGGGATGTTAATAAGTGCTAATAAGTCCTTGATAATGGCTTTTAACCTACACTTTTGTTTGATTTGGTTAAAGCTTATGGTTGTTTGTGCAACTCTTGTTAAATCATTTGACTTGAAGTAATGTTTCTGTAGGAGTCTAAAATGATTACGATATTTTGTCTGGTATAAATAATTCGTTAGGCTTACTAACCCTGTACATTTTAAGTTGTTCACAGGAATCTGAAGTAGAGCTAGTGATCTAACGAGTCAGTTATCTTTGTGAAATTCCAAGACAGTACATTTAAAATCAGGGACTGATTTCACGTACATGAAATATCTGTAATGTTAGCCTCTGATATTTATTAAAATGTGTTCACTCTCACGCAAAGCAACTATTTTGTCGATGAACTTTATACCTTGATCGTCTATTTTACTGATTTGGATTACTGAAAATAATGTCATGAATTATTGGTAGCCAGTTCTCTTTCTAGCATATTCCTTATGGTATAGGAAGAAAACGTTTCATTAATGACTTTTGCTAGATTTCGAATACTCAGTGGGTGTTACAATAAGTTATATACTGGTCTATGGTATTTACGGTGAAACATATTCTTATCAGTTTTTCAACCGCCACTGAGACATATTCGCTGTAATTACTCACGTACACTAACAAGTTTCAAGAAAGTAAGAGAATTTCTTCTCAAAATTAGGATTGCTCAAAGTGCTGAAACAGTGTGGGATATTAATCTCAGCCTATGTAAGTCAACTGATAACACAACTTTATCGGTAACAGGCTGACAAACAGGTCATTAATACACTACCCAACTATTAGATATTCCAGATGCTAATGGTATTAGAATGTGAAAGGTGATGTATACAAGTACTATTTGGTGCCATATCTTCATTCATATCCAGTTATTAGGACGGTCATTCAACTTTCTCGGTTTATTTTCCCATATATTACAGAGTGTCGTACGGACACTGGGATTTCTAAAGAGTTTTGTACATTCTCAGTTAAATTTACGATTAATTTTACTAGCAGCAAATTTCCCTATGGAGCATATATATCTCATTATTATTACCTTTTTTACCATAAGCTAGTATAAGTGTTTTACTATGGGTATTTAAGATGCTACAACAAGTATGTAGTTAGTTACACAGGGCATTTATTATGAGGTCTCATCATCAACCGGAAATACTTAAACTATGCTCTCCATGTCAAGCACATTTTGACAATTAAACTAGTGGACGTATTTCCAGTTGATACTATTACATGTATTTTAATAACTGAGTAATGTCAAGGAAATACTTGTTAGAAAATGTAACTGAACAGTGACTGATTTCAGCTAGAAAAATTTGAAAGAACAACAAGAAGGGCCGTTGGGACTTACATAGGGACTTGTAGAACATGTTCAGTGCTTTATCGCTAAAAATATAAACCAACGGATTCTAGTTTACTGTCTAGAAGAATGGTGTTCCCGTAATACTTGAGTGTCCTGATTTTGTGATACGCCCGACCAGTCAGGCATCGATCAAATAATAATTGACAGAGGCTAGACTATAATTCATGGACGAACCAATCAGATTTAAGATAGCAGGTCTTAGATTTTGGCGCGAGATTGATCCACTCATTTGGCTAAATATCATTTCAGCATTATAGCTGATGTCAGTTCGTGATGAAAACATTGAATATAATTTCTAACACTAACGTTCAACTGTAAATCCTAGTTCCTCGCGCTAATTTATAACCCTCATTTAACCCTAGTAAGTAGATGGATATTTTTAAGATCATTTTAAAATTACTCAAAGGTCGTCCATAAATTATAGTCTCACCATGACAGATGTTGACAAATGAACATTACTGATCAAGATTTGACTACACTTTATAAGGTAATAGACATAAGCTATTGATATTCTTACTCAATTAGCTGGTTTGGCTACGAATATAAGAAGCACATATATCAGTATTAGACCCAGACGACTGGACAACATAATGATTTAATCCTTGGAGATTTCACGAATGCATATTTCAGAAAAATCACAAGCTAGAACAAAACAGTTGTTCATTTTACCCTGAAAATCAGTAGGGTTTTTTATCAGCTATTATCTCTGGAATTAAAACTCTGGTAGCTCAATAAAATCAGAAAGAACTGTATTCACCGTAACAAAAATTTTAGACTATTCTCTGGTAATACTACAAATGAGACGGATTTAAATCTTGATGTTATTTAAAGAATTAAAATTCTCAAAAGAACCAATTTAATTCAGCATATAAATAACTAAAAATTAATTTAACAAACAATCAATATCATTGCCAAAAAATAAATTACTTAAAAGAAAACAAGGCAATAGTGATTAAAAAAGTAAATCAATAAACAAACAAGAAATTTCAATGACTATACAACAGTAATAAAAGAATTAATGGGTTCACTTAATGGAAGTTATATTCTAAAATGGAGTGTAATTATCTGTATACCTCCTGGTACCGAAATAACATAGTCTTTTTAAAATAATCTGAATGATAATGAGCAATGTAAAAAGAAATTGTGAAAGATAATCAAAATTTCCATTTGATTATAAATTGTTTACTTAAAGTTAAAAGCGATTGATTTTTAATTTGACAAGTTTCTAAGTCATTGTCAAACATAAAATCTACCGGTTTATTGTTTACAAGAATTTCTGTAGGCTTTATAATGAAACCAACTATAAGAATAGTCTTAACATCTAGTTCTTTCAAATCAACTTTCTTTAAGCTTTCAACACTCGAAGGTGTAGAAATCACTGTTAAAGTACGATCACGAACTTCAAATTTCGCGTGTACATAATTTAAATTAGCATCATCTCCATTGTCCCAGAATAATTCACCTGATGCTGTGATCCTCTGACCAGCAGCATCACTTCCATCATCAGTTGAAGACAAGATCACAAATAAACCGAATCCTTTCTTACGAGCGATATCTGTTGTTTCAGCAGAAACTTGCATTGGAATTATACAGCCACAACGGACGGAAATCGGAATGACATTCAAAGGAGCATCGAAATATTTCCAAGTACCTCGACTGAAATACCGTTTGCCAGTGGATAGGTTAATCCATTCTCCTGACGGAACGTAACCCTCAACGAATGTACGACCCTCATCGAGCACTGGAGTGATTAAGATGCACGATCCGAGCATGAATTGTGCATTGACTTTATGTGTGGCTAAATCTTCAGGGAACTCGAATGCGAGGGCACGAGCCACAGTTGTTCCATTTAAGTATGATCTGTAGAATAATGTGTATATATACGGCAGTAGGTGGTATCTTAACTTCAAGGATTCTTTGATTGCCTCAGTAGCTTCTTTACTCCAATATGCAGGGTCTTGATCCATAGCCTCATCTTCATTGTGATTCCGAGCAAATGGATAAAATGCACCTAACTGACTCCACCGGATACACAGTTCCTCTGTTGTATTTCCTGTAAATCCACATATATCAGCACCAACCATCGGAATACCAAACATATTAAAGTTAATAATTTGAGCCACAGAAGTTTTCAAACTATCCCAATTCGATAAAACATCTCCTGTCCAGTGAGCGGCATACAAACCTGAACCAGCAAAACTTGAACGCGTCAATATGAATGGTCGTTTATCAGGAAACATTCGAGTCAATACATTGTGGGTTACACGTGCTTCATCGTAACCATATATATTATGCATATTATAGTGTGTTGTGTTGTAATGTAAGGCCGATGGACAGATCGTTTTATCGTATAAAGAGTTTCCGAGAATTTTTGGGACATAAGGAGGATTGTCAAGCGTATTTGATGATGGACAACCACTGAGTGATCCACCATTGAAATTGGCTGGTTCGTTCATGTCTATCCACAAACCGTGGAAGTTGATCACCTTGTGAAAATCAGATGCCGATTTGAACCACCAATCCTCAGCAGATGGGTGTGAGAAATCTGGGAAAACTGTTTCACCTGGCCACACGGTACCTAGAATCGGTGTCCCAGTTCGACTGTCATTAATGAAAATACCGTGTCTCATACCATCCTCATATGGACGATATCCAGTACCACCTTTCGTGCTGACAGCTGGATCTACGATCAACACTGTTCTCATACTGTACTTCTCACGTAAAATATCCCTAACATAAACATCTATTCCACCAAATCGTTTTGTGTCCACTGACCAAATTTTGTATGCATCCATATAATCAATGTCAAACCACTGAGCATCTATCGGAATCCCAGCATCCACATTTCGCTTGAGGACTTCTTTAGCTTCATCCAGATTTTTCATTCCATATCTACAGATATGAAATCCGAGTGACCAATATGGGGGTATCGGTGGATGACCGATAAGACCATAATATTGATTTATCACGTCTAGTGGTTTCGGTCCAGTGAATACAAAGAAATCTAAAATGCCACCAATAGTTCTATATGTGATTGCTGGTAGAGGTGTTATTGCTACTTCTTGAGCGTTGCTGTTTAAAAAGAAGATTCCAAATGCTGTGCCATCATACTTTAAACCCATGAAGAAATTGTGAGTTCCATATAGATTCGCATACGACTGTGGATTCCCGTCGTGACCCCAAAGAGCTGCACGCATCCATGTATCGAAGGTGTTTGGATATTTTTGCTCTATTTCTCCAGGACCAAAGCTTACTTGAGCATTCACACGAAATGAAATCTGCAAAAACTGATTTGAAAATATAAGCGAACTAGCCAACTGTCCAGTTGAATCCAAAAGTACATCTTGCTCTTCAGTATTTCTCGTAATCTAAAGTTTTTATGAAATAAAAATCATTTTAAAAAAGGTGATTTTATCTAAAAAGCTAGTAAACTAAATTTTACTCTTTATATTTCTGAATAATGAATTAAACTAGTAAAAAGGAAAGTTAACACTACTAGTAAATTAAGCGAACATGGTAAATGTAACAAATAGGCTAATATAAGTTGTGATAATAATGTGAAATAAGAATAATAACATGAAGCTAAAGATATCGGATTATATAACAAGGAACGTCTGTAAAGGAGATATAAAGAAAGATTAATAAACGGTGAATCCACCGTCAATAAAATTCCATTACAATAATCGTCAAGTGCAAGGAAATGTTAGACAAATAATAAATGCATCTAAGAATTTCGTTTGTCATGTTCTAAGTAAACTTTAGGTTTCCTTTTCAACCTGTTCACACACAACATTTGGTATTCGGTGACCACATTGAGTGTTAATTTTATCTTCTATGATTTCTATGGTTAAAAAATGGTAATATCCCTATTTCGTACTTTTTTGACGATCATGGTGTAAGAACAAATCTCTATTCACTAAGTTTGTTCTTCAGTGAACCTTGCCAATGTTTTCCGGACCGTAGCTGCTACCATGACGTGGTGGTCGGGCTTGCCGGTCGTGATGACCAAACCGAGCTATATTGGCTAGAACGTATGTTCCTGTAGGTTCTACCATGCCAGACAGGTCGATTAGAGAACGGTAAGACTAAAAGCATCAACTCAAGGTCTCAGGGCGAAGTCGTACTGTTGACTGTAGAGGGGTGTGCCAGCAGTAAGGGGTTTCCCTCGGACAACCGTCATTCGCAGCGATTCTGCCTTCTCACAAGGAAGCAAGGGGTTAGAAAAGGTCGACCCTAAAAATTTCACGCCTCACCTTACCTAACAGATTTCTGTCTCCGATTGTAAGGCCCTTTGAAGAACGGAGCTAACACGTCAAAAATCCCTCACAAAAAGGCCGTGCGTGACCGCCCTCAAACAGTTGTCCCTTTGACTCTGCGGTCACGCTGTATTGGTTGATCAATAAAATTGAAAAGCATACGCTTATAAATATATTTTCAAAGGACTTATGAGCAAACTGAAACTTCGGTGTACTGAAAGAGCCATCAACCAACTAGAAAATAGTGTTTTTGATCGCAGTAAAAATGAAATAAGACTCACTACGTAGACTTCAAGAAAAGAGTTTAGTTGAAATTTGTATATCTAAGTGCTTAGAAGTTATTAGGAAAATAAAAGAAAGATCTCTTATAAGTTCGGGTCGGAGTTATACCTTACACAGATAGTTCCTATTTAATAGATTTTTACGCACCGCATGAAGAAATGCAGTTGCGATTTCGATAAATTTGCTTTCCAATTCATTCTCCACTCGTTTAGAGAGCTATACTAAAACTACAGGAGATTGAAAATAAACTAGTAAACTGAGAACTAGGTATCATTTCGAATATTAAGGCAGATTTTAATAGGTTTCTATGCTTATATCTAATAAAGAAAACTTATTTTGTGAACGAAAATCAGAAAACAGCTTCAGTGCAATAATACTATGCTACGTTAAAATGCGTTATCTACAATCATTTCATTATATTCGTTACACTACTTACTAATTATGAGTAGTATGAATGTAATTTTTACTCCGTCTGTAGCTCCTCCAGGATTACTACCGTCTCAAGCCCCGGTAAAAGAGGAGGGTCAGGCATTGAGTCAGCAACCCCATCCCGTGGAAAACAATCTTGCTAAAAAAATGACAACCTCTCAGTTGAACGATCGTCATTCAGAAGAATTATGACGCCTAATAGTGAAAGCCGAAGTTCTTCGGAAATCATGAGGATGATGACCATTCTAACAAACACAGAAACAATTATTATAGGCACATGGAGCTGATTAAGCTTCAAATCAGCACCTCCTGGTTACCAAGATGAAAATGAAGCTAAAGAAACACCGGAAAGCTGGGGAAACAGAATTACAAAGGTTTAATGCAGCCTTCTTTCGACATACTGACTAACTCAACCAATTCAAGATAACTCTCAACAACAGCTTCCAAGAATTACAAGATCTACTCAAAGAAGAAGAAATTTCTATGATGAACAACTGAAAAGGGATCAAAGAAGCACTAACTTCAACGCCTCAGGAGGTCAGAAGGGCCACAAGAAGCATCATTGTAAGGAATGGATCTCTATCGAAACCCCGTACAAGATTCAAGAACCCAAGAATAAGAATGCACCAAATAACAACAGCCGAACAAGAACGGAGCAAGTCAAGCACAAGCTGAATACAGTGAAGCAAACATGCAAGTGAATAGGATCATTAGAGCCAGAAAGCAGAAATACGTGGAACACCTAGAAATGACAGACGAAAAAGCTGTAAGAGAGGGAAATATGAGACAGATATACGACACAACGAAGAAACTAGAAGGGGAATGTAGTAAACCAGAGAGACCAATCCACAGCAAAGAAGACAAGACAATCACTGAAATTCAACAACTTTGACTAACTATTGAGTAGGCCAGATGCATTTAATCCACCAGATATCGAACCAGCACACACAAAGACGCTTCTATAGCTGTCACTCTACCAACGGTCAAAGGAATCAGAATGAGAATCAGACAAAACAAGAGTGGGAAAGCAGAAGGACTTGACAACACAGCAGCTGAAGCACTGAATTCAGACACAGAATCAACATGCAAACATGCTCCACGTTCTATTCAAGAAGATTTGGGAGGAAGAACAAGTGCCAACGGACTGGAAAGATGCCAAAGAAAGGAGATCTGAGCATATGTGAGAATTACAGAGACATCAGTTTGTTATCAGTACCAGGAAAGGTTTTCAATAGAGTGTTGTTGAACCGGATGAAGGATTCATTAGATGCCCAACTTCGAAATCAACAGGCTGAATTCCGTAAGGATTGGTCGTGCACAGACCGAATTGCAACACTACGGATCATCATCGAACAATCAGTTGATTGGAACTCGTCATTATATATCAACTTTATTGATTATGAGGAAGCGTTTGACAGTGTGAATAAGAGAACATTATGGAACCTTCTTTGACACTATGGTATACTTGAGAGAATCGTGAACATTATCCGAAACTCATACGACAGACTACACAGCAAAGTGGCGTATGGAAGACAGTTGACAGACGCACTACAAGAGAGGCCCAGTGTAAGACAAGGCTGATTACTCTCACCATTCCTTTCTCTTCTGGTGATTGACTAGATTATGAAGACCTCGACGTCCGAATAGAAGCATGTTATACAATGGACAGCTTGGATGCAAGTAGACGATTTGGACTTTACAGATGACCTAGTCTTTCTATCCAATATACACCAACAAATCCAGGTGAAGACAAACAGTGTAACAACAAACTCTGAAATAGTAGGCATCAACATACAAAAGCGAAAAAACAAGATTTTCAAACACAATACGGATAACATCAACCGACCTAATCACACCTGATGGAGAAGTTCTGGAGGAGGTGAAAACTCTCACGTGCTTTATAATAGCTTACAACGTGAATCATCTGCTTTCTTAAACACGTTATCAATATACTATGTTTATTAACACATTCATCCAATCTCTCAGATATTATGTATCAGTAAATCAATTAAAACTTCATTATATTGAGGTCAAATTGTATTCTTAAATCATAAGTTTTTTAATTTGAATTTGGCTAATTAATATCAAACACATATATTTTCAATTTTTGTCATCTCAGTTCTCTCCGTAAGTTTTAGACACAATTAAAGTGACAATGTCTATTATATCCTGTTATCAGAATGATTGGATCGACCTATTCTAAATACAGGAGCATCTAATCAACCCTGGACACGCCGCTTCAAAGGAGTCTTCCTTTAGAATAATCTACACAATTAAAGGTCGAATCAAAAACCTCTGCACTATTGAGGTGTTGGAGATCCACTAATTTAAGTCTGAACTTATGCAAAACGATAAGTCTAACCTTTCATTCTTCTTTGGCCTTAATTTCCTTCTGTTGTATGTTTTAGTCTTGCTTTTTTAATTATTATTTTGTAATTTCTAACCGTAATCAGTTATTACGATTATATTTCAGTTATTATTATGACCTTTATGTTTTTCATGTTTCTTCATACCTGTTAAGCGGACAATTATCTTTCATAATCATATGAAGGGGGGTTTTGTGGATAATATTGTAATTTAATAATTGAGTTCATCAGTCAATTAAAGCTAGAACACCATGGATGACCTGAAAGCACTTGACAGTCTTTTTGTCCTAGCAGTGTACATCCACGACACCCCCCCCCGTGAGATCTGAACCCAGGATTTACAGGTCGCACGTGAACACTTAACCTCTAGACCACTAAGCCGTAATCTAACCTTTTTAATGTCCAACTTCAACCAATCCACGTAAATGAGCCACAGTTCATCATTGTCTTCAGTGAGTTACCATCTCACAACAAACACGGTTGAAATTCTGGGAATACCTCTTGAAACCAGTCACTAGTGAGCACATGATTATTATCCTATGAAATAAGTTTTTGTGGATATTGTTGTAATTTATTTCGCGCGCGACAGATAAGTCCTGAGTTCGAATCTCGGGGGGCGGGATCGTGGGTGTGCACTCTCGAGGAGTCCCATACTAGAACAAAACGGCCGTTCAGTGCTTTCTAGTCTTCCATGGTGGTCTGGGTTCAACTGACTCATGAATTCAACTATTAAATTTCATAATTCTGACACGCAAATTATTTTCATCCTTCTATTCCTCGCTAACCCTATGACCATTGCGCAATCTCATTTGATATTTAGAGTCTCGAACCACTTTATGATGCAATCTTTTTTATCCTTCTATAGACATATATTTAACATACAACTACAAGTGCGAATGTAAATCTTAAGTAAATGATTTCGTCGAAAAGAAAATTATCTTCACAGAATTCTATTTATCTTTATTCAATGACATATTGATTTATTTTAATTGTCTAAATTTACTCACATGTGTATATGAACAACTCCGGGAAACCACTAAGAACGTGTAATCAGGTTATGTCAGTTGCAGGTATTAACCTAAAGAATGATCAGTTGGTAGGTACCAGCTTTTTTGATTTAATTGAATGAAAATACTTTCATATAGACCTGTATGAAGAATAGACCATAACTTTCCATTCTCAATAAACCGAAAGGCTTGGTGATTAAGCCTCATCATTCGCTTTGTTTGAGAGCAAAGTCACTACAAAAAGCAGTATACACATAAATCATTGACAGTATTTTGCAGGTCTAAATCATCAAGGTTAGATAAAGTGGTACATATTCACGAAAATCAGGACGGTTAACAGCTTATTGGTGTTCTAAAGGAAACAAAAACCTATATCTTACCTTTAATCCAAAGGGTGATTTCTCCATGTCAACTTTGTATTGAACATCTTTTACGCGAGTATCATCCACCTTTCCCAATGGAATAGTTGGTTCCCATCTGTCTGGCTGCGAAGGTACAGTAAATCGTATACGAAGTCTAGTGGAAGTCTCCTCTCTAATTTCAACGGCAATACTTTTTATTTCATCTGGATAATAGGTTGGATTAGGTTTGCTCAATTGTCCAATAAAGCCATGTTTAGTTTTCTCAGCTGATACCACAATATATGCAGAATAATCTTTTGGAAAATAACAGTAAGGTAATCCATCATGTTCATTTTCAGGCACCCAACAACATCCTCTTTCAATGCATACACCTTCATTAGAACCAATATTTGGATAACAATCTAAACGTTGCACATTGGTAATATTTGAACACTGAGGGTAAGATTCTGCACATTTGAAGGTGTTAATTAAGAATAAGGCAAATAGAACAATTATAGTCTGCATGATATTTATTTCTTTATTTGTTTGGTTCTTATGACGAGACGCAAATAAACGAAAATTGGAAGTTCTAAGAGTGATTTTACCTATCCGTGGAACAATATATTCACTTGACATACTTAAACAACCAATTATATTGCGGTAAATAATGTAATCAATAAAACTTCAATTTGTTTGTTACTACTACTTACGTCCAATAATAATTTCTTATGCTTAATGTAGATATATGGAGATTGTAATGTTGATATGACTTAACTAAAATGACTAAAACATTTTTCGATAGATGCGAACTAATAAAAGACTTTTTCTTACAGCTCATATCACCATTATCAAATGAATCAATAGTATTGTGAATTATGTTTTACTTTATTAGTTTGACAACATATCGCACTAATTTGTGTAACATCTATACAATTGTTCAATACGTACTTAAAGTTAGGACCACGATACACAGCTGCAGTATTTGGTCTAATGATCAGCTACTTATAAACTGAGATGATGGTGTCTCGAAGTAGAATCCAGGACGCACGTTTCATCCTATTGGAGACTCGTCGGCTGGACGTACCTGCATCCCAGAGTTGATGTCCATTCCAGAGCAAATATGCCTACTAGAAACGGATTAATTACACTCCTAAACATCAATGGGAAGACTCAAGCAACCAATACGAAAATGTATCAAACTTCACCCCATTTCACAAGCTAGTGACCATCTGGACTCAGTAGCTACGTGGATAACGCGATGGCGTTTGAAACCAACGGCACTGTGTTCGAGTCCCAGAGTGAACATCAACTTGGAGATGCACGTTTAGCAACAGTGCGGGAGGCTTTACCTGGTATTGGCAGTATTATGATGCCTCTGTAGTTCTTACACTTACTAAGATCTCCCTTGATATCTTGATGGGGTATCCTACTTTTCAGTCTGTCAGCACTTGTTCTTCCTCTTGTATCTTCTATAAGAGGAAAGATGACTTCTTTATAATTGCCTCTCTATCTAACTTCAGCTTTTAGGCTGGTATTCTCTATGGTCCTGTTAATTTCCCATTCTTAATTTATCTGATGACCACCCAGAATTCTTTGAGTTCTGGTGAGCCCGCATCTGTATGAAGATCGGTGTGTGCTGCTTTCATGGTCGGTCGTTCAGTGAGGCTGGTCTATTCAAATAGTCCTCAAAGTGTCCTACCTCACATGTTGATCATGAATCTCTGTGACTGATTTATTTCCCTTATCTTGGTTGGTCATTCACTGGTTTACAATATTTTCCGGTTAGATTCTTCGTTATATCATGTAGTTTTCTCACGTTCTGAGATAGTGGAGATTTGTAGCTCAGGTGGATGATTTAAGGGGACTTTTGTTCTCTGAGCTGAGTGTTTTGGTTTTGCCACTCAGCACTTCCTGACGTTTTCAAGCTATCGGTTTTTCAGACATATTTCACACAATCGTTGATTCCAACAGACAATCAGAGAATCAAAGTGGAGTAACAGACTGGAGCAGACAAGTTTGTCAACTCGATTTGATCAAGCGTGACTCAATATTTATATTCAGACAAAAATAAGCTAAAGACATATAGTGAATGGGTTAGCGATGAACACACACGCTCATATAAAAACAGCTAGGGTTATAAATAAATAATTGACAAGGTCAAAATGTAACTCCTGAAGAATAAACAAATAGTTTTGTCCAAAAGCAAGATTAACCCATGTGGACTTGACTTAGTGCTATGGTTCATGCTCCTTAATGTTGACTGATTTAAGTAGTATTTAACACCAATCAGAAGTGAAATGCCTGTCAAAAAGGGATTGGGAAGACTGAACTGAAAAGAAGAATTGGAATAAGCACAGACTTGGGAGAATCATCGAGAATATAAATGACAACTGATGGAAGATGTGCAAATGAAGTAATTAATGTATGGTTTTCATAATTTATAAAGACACAGTAATTTTGTTCTAAACAGTGGTATTCATTCACTACATCATAAGATACTACACCATTGTGAATTCACTGAGTATGTTGTCATCTTGAAGGAATTGTGTTATATAGTTTTATGATTTGGTATTTTTGAAAAAGTTACTTATGTTAAATCATGAAACGTACAAAATACAAATTTCTACTCATCAGAATATCACAAAATTTATAATTAATACTGTTATCTTTCCTCCTTTGTCTCTAAGGTTGCGTTAATGGTCCTCGATCCACAAGATCCTCATCGTATAAGCGTTTTTTCTAATTCTTTGAACAACATCAAAGCAAGTCCCTATTTATGTGGGGGATGCTCTCTGCCATGACCAGAGTACGTTAGTATTTCTAGTTCACATTGTATCCAATGAATTTCATTTACTGCAAACATCCCCAGGTTTTCATCTTCTCATTTCCACTGCCTTTGAATGGCCCTTCCAGTCCAGTACATTATCAGGACACTTTACCTACCTATTTTAATTGTCTCTCTAGTTATTAGAAGGGGCATCGGTTCGCGACTTTGAAAAAATCTAGGCTTTCACCGTGAGGAGACATAACTCCTCTATATGCAGACCCTTTATCTCTCAATATAGAGTTTAGATTATTTGAATAATTTCTCTTGTTAGCGCTTTTTTAGCAAGGTTCTTCATTACAAGATGATAACGCAAAGTATACCAAGACCTGGAACCAGCAGTAACGTTAGAAAAAATCCAGAAGAAGTGCTCATATTCTATAATTTTCTGTACATAATAACATTCTGTCTGACCCTCACTGATGAATGATAAGACATCAGGGATATTTTGATCAGATAGTAATTTTCCTATTGTTATAATGGATACAGAAAAATGACCATAAATAATTTTGTTTGTGATTTGTGTGGAAGTCATAATACTTTGAGAATTTCGTGCATTTCGTGCAGATTTAAATAAGTCAAAACCTACATTAGTTAATACTAAAGTTTTTATAGCTTCATTGAACTATAAAACTGACAGTAAGTTGTTGATTAAGTTACTTTGAACAATGATATTATTTAGTTTATAACAATAAATAAATAAAATAAATAAATAAATATTTTGTAGATATTGAACATCATTTTCACCTATTTTTAAAAAGAACTATTTTACTACTCACAAGTAGTTCAATGTATTCTACGAAATATTACGATAATCAGCACAAAATAGCCATCGATCAAATTTGATACCAAGCGGACAGATAGAAGTAAAAAAAATCATTGCTTATTTCTTTATCTTCAGTTTCATTCTTCATCACTCAATTCTAATTTGATTAATCATACCTTTTAGTCTGAATCGTTCATATGTATATGAAAATCATTTTTTCAATATACGCTTACTAAATAGTCTTCTCTAGTGACTGTCAAGAATTCCAGAACCAATAAGCTGACATCGGTCTGGGATGCAACCAATCTTCAAATTAGCTTAATCTCAGCGAACCAAACATTTAAACAATGAATTTTATTTGATAACCAGTAACTCTATCTAACAGACTTTGATAACTTGATCTATAGGCATAAGTTTCATCGGTTTCGGTCACCTGTCGATAAAACAAAACAAAAATAAAATAAATTACTGAGTGAATTGGTTGTCATACTATTTCAAAGCTTCTTATCAGGTGTAAACATTTTAATATTACAACAGTTATCAGATAAGCTCATTAAAGCAATACAAACATACGTTTAATTATCATATCATGAATTTACTATCTATAATTCAGTATCCAAAAGTTTTTATGCCTAGACTGACAAGTTACCAAGCAGTTGAACCCGAAATTCTGAGCAGATCTTATGAGACAGCATTATTAACCAACTGATTAATGATTTGAATATACATTGATCAAATGATGTTATTATTATTTACATTCAAAATATCTAACCAAAATAACGTGACGTTAATTTAGTTATCAATTAACAGACGAACAACCACGAATAAAACATAAATGTATACAAAGTAATCAGTGATATATCACTCCTGCCCAACTTAAAGTCATATACATACATATTTAAAGAAAGTTGCCATAATGAGCTGATATCGACTAGACGTATAAATAGGTATTTTGTTCAAGTGCACCAATGAGAATTCACCATTCCATACAGACTATAACTCAATACCTTCAAGTTTCACTGTAAGGTTTCACTAGAAGGCCAAATTATTTATATTTAATATTTGATCCAATATCAGGTAAATTATTCAATACTGCAAGTTACAGTTATCTCACTCTTAACATGAATAAACTCCATCAGATACGACTTCATTTGAAGGTTGATTAATAATGTACAAATAATTAGTTGAATGGTTTTCTAGTGAATGTTTCGGTGCTCTATGACTTGACAATATTTTTTTCAGTAATATCAGTTAGGAATTCGAACTCTTGATAAGTTAACTTGGCTTCCATAAACCACTCATCTTATCAAAATATTTTTTTTTACTTAGTAACTACTTAACAATCTCCACAACCCCATACTGATGATTTCATTTAAATATATATGTTTTCAATAACTAATAAGTAAATAGCTTATTACATGAAATATTAGCGTATGGATACTAATTCCATTTGTTCTACTGCAAAAAACTGAATAACTTACCCACTGTGTTTTTTAAATGCCAACTTGGAATCAGTCAGGTCGAAAATTAGTTACACTGAGATAAATTATATATAAACACTTAAATATATTCTCAAAAAGTAAATATATAAGATAAACAAACAAATTACCCGTCGGTTGAAAATGGCATAAAATCCCATCATCGAACATATGAATTGAACCGACAGGCGTCTGATGTAGAGCTAGAATAAATAGAGTCTTATATCAAGAAAAAGCACTCATTCAATGTCATCTGTTTTCCAGTGGCTCCACAAGTAATGTTAAACTGTGAAAATAAGTACTCTCCAAAGTAAAATAATCTCCAATCAGTCAAGATTATCTTAAGTGCTGTTAAAGGCATGCAAACTGTTGTCACTTCTCGGTTACTCACACTCTGAAAGGATAATTCTTCTTGAGGTACCTGTAAACGGAACTAGATCAGTAGTGATCTTGGTAA